TCATCAAGAAGGGAGGTGATCACGAATGCATCCCAGACATGGTCCCCTGATATCTCAAATTTTACAGGATAGCCCTCGGGCGCCTGATTGCCATGAGAAAGACAGAAGTTGTATAGCCGCGCACAATTGGTTGCTGATGTCCTGCGTGGACATATCACTCTCTAGACCACGACAATAGATCCGAGTGATCATTCCCTTACCAGGACACATCCATCGCAGTCTTGAATAGTTCGATGACCTGATGTTCCATGAAAACATGGTCTGCGACCTGGACGTTCTCGGGTTGGTGTTCATAATACATGCGTTCACCACGAAAGACGCTGTAGTTGTGACGATAATCGACCTGGCATGCTGGAAAAAGCAAAAGTAAGTGGAAGGTGCCGAGAGACAAGTGTGTCATCACCTTCGCAGTAAAGATGTACTGATTTTGCAGGACGAGGTCCCTCAGCGAACGTGATCAGGACAACCTGTCGCTGCTCGGCCTTTTTGAGTAGCAAGCCTTTTCCACGGCGTACACAGTCAACGCGAAGGCAAGAGTGGCTCGGAGGATAAAGGGTATGCTCAGCTACAATTACAATTAGTATAGACCAGCCATTGATAGATCGAAGGCAACGTACTGAGTCCCCGCCGTCCACCGAGCTGATCCCATACATCTGTGACATCCATCCCAATGCCCCCACTCCAAATCACATCCTTCAGCAAATCCCAAGTGGCCTCAACCTCCGCCGAAGATATGGAGCAGCCCGCACCGAGGAAAGCACTGAAAACAGGGGACAGAACATCGGGAGGAGAGGAGGCTGGAAAAGTGGGCGGTTGGGCAAGAATGATGTCGTCTTTGAGGGTCGAGGCAAGGCTAATGAATCGAAAAAGGGTGCGGAAAGACGAGCTGCTGATGGACTCGGGCTTCCGTTGGAGATGCCGCAATAAGGCGACATACGAGCTCATTGTGTCGTCGATTGACAGAAAGCCAGCAACCTGGAGGTTACGCTGATGGCTGGACCCGGACAGACCCGGACAGACCCGGTCGGCCGGACGGACCCGGAATTTCGGATTCCTGGATGCCCTCTGTTTGGCAAGGGCCTCTGAGCGCAACAAGGATAAACAACCCATCGCTGCACCACAGCCACCAATCTTTGGAAGGGACGTCCTCGGGAGGGACGGTGATAAGTAAGAGCCAGCTAACCATTAATTTCCCAAGTGAGGCGATGCCCAACTCGATATCGATTAGGTGTGTGATGTTGTCCAATGTATGCACGGTCCCACTTGTACTCGTCTATTGTATATTTTCCATGATCCGAGGTTCCACAAATCCAACAGGTCGCACCCGGACCAACGCACAACTGCCCGAGTTTGGAACGCGTTCCCGCCGAGGCGACCGGGGCTCTTCCGTGAAACCTGCCGCACACTGCCACATCTTGGATACGAGCGACTCGATTCTCCGCGATTTCAAAGCAAACTTTGCCGGAAAATTATCTCACATCGATTAGGCATCACCAGCAAGGACGCAACTAGGTCCACACTCTGTGTAGGAAACCTCCATCGATCGACCTGAGTATAGATGTTTTGCATCCAACCCCGAGGCCCATCCATTTCAGATCATTTCAAGGATATCAGAATCAGACAAGCATGTGTACTCAAGCTATCCGAAAAATCACTCAGTTTTCACCCAGAGAAACAAATTCGACGACTGCATGGAGGTGACAAAACAGTGCGCAGTCCGTACACAGCATCTAACATATTACTTTTCACCCCACGTGAAGCTAGGCTTACTCGCGGAGTCTCCGCCTAGCAATGCAAAGGTAAGTCTCAGTCGACACCCCGCCAGACCGTGGATAAACTCACTTCTTGGGCTTGAACGTCGCATCATACTGGTGGAAGAACTCAAGAGGGAGGGTGGGCAATTCTCCCGTGATAGGCGTGAAGGCCAACGTGCTGACATAGTTCGTCTTCCCTTCGCGAACGAGCGAATAATACTCGAGGAGATACTGCAGCTCGGCCGCGTCAACGTCGGTATCTTCCAGGATTTGTTTCGCCTCGTTCCTGATCACAAGAAAGGTGAATCTCGGTAAATGCGGTCACATAAAAACTTACTCGGATATGTCCGAAAACCCGATGTTAAGTCCTGCCTCGGATGCAACTGCGGCCAACTCGGGGCCGTTAACCATCCTGCAGGGAACTGTGAGATGGAGTTCGTCATCTGGAAGTCAAGTCTCCTACATGGGCCCTGTCAAGACAACTAATTGGCCACGGAACTTATCGTCCAACCCATGCGGACCTTGGCTCACAAGGACACTGGCAGCAGCTTTAGCGATGTCACCAAGAGCGATAGGAGCGAATGAGTGAGTGTCGCCGATGGGGAGACGAAGCTTGCTATTCTTTTTCACATCTTTATCGCAGAGCAGGAGGTTCTCGGCGTAGAAACCAGCACTATGGAAGTAAATTCACGACACCGGTATGCTTGGGCACGTACAGAACCTACCGGATGATGCACTGTGAAGTCCCTGCTTCGGTATCGGGAAGGTACCTAAGCTTCATAGCTTCGGCCTCAATGTGGATGAACTGGCGCAATTGATGCTGCTTCTTCTCCTCTGCGAGGTCGGCGCCTGCAGCGCTCAGTAAAACGGTGTTTTTAATCCCGGCTTCGTAAGTGGCATCGATCATCTCCTTTGCGAGACTAAGCTTGTTCTTGTGCGCAGGAGGGATAAGGAAGATGGTATCCGCCCCGGTACTTTTGAGAGCGTGGACAAGGCCATCGCGGTCCTTGGGTTTATGGGGGATGACTTGTGCCCCGAGGCGTTTGAGGTCCTCGCATTTGTCAGGGTTCAACGCGAGGCAACATAATTGTTTAAATTCAGTGGAGAATTGCTCAAGCAGAAGTTCAGCGACGAGATGCCCGGTCTGTCCGTCGGCAGAGGTAATGCAGATTGTTCGTGACATTGTGAAACAAGGTGCGCGATGAGTCAATTCATCTCCTCGCATCATTATAAACATTTCAGGGTAGCCCGTCATTGTTGGCGTCATTGAACAATAGACTCAAAGGCTCCTAAAGCAAGGATTCATTCCTTTCGTGTGACGCACGGGAAGAATTGGTCATGGTGCCAGGGGCTACTCGCGGACAAGCCTTTAGCCACGCACTCGTACTGTAGCGCGTTCAAGCAACAGTATCGTCGCTCCATTAGATGCAGAGACGTGGACACTCTTGCAAGACGAGCAAGGCCATGTTTTACACACCATGATGGTAAATATTGAAAGTAATATATCTTGCACTACACAAAACTCGGGAATCTTGGCAGAACCGATGGGGGAGCGGGAAAATCATCTAGGTTAACTGTAGATGCGCTGTAGCTGCCTGCCAGCGCTGCGAGAGAGGCCATCTCAGCGAACTGGGAAGACGCTTCATCGTCTGCAGTAGATTGTGGGGGCTCGGATGACTCGGCCTCTGCGTCTTTGAAGATAACGCCAAGCGAAAGCAGCACCGCCTTGTTCATCTGCATGCTCCTCGTCTGAGCCCTCCTCAGCTCGAATACTTCTTCCTTCACCTCGCCTTCGCAGTCCAAATCGGCGCTTTCTAAGGTTGTGAGTGACGATCTCGAGGAGCCGTTCATGGTCGTAGAAATCCCTTCGCCTGTCCCGCATTCGGTCGTCGAGTCTTCCTCATCGTTCTCTCCGGAGTCGCACTTGAAGATACTATCGCGGTCCGAGCGCATGCTGAGGAAAGATTTGGGCAAGTCGGAACCCGGATCTACTGAAGAGACCATTGAACTAGACTCGAGGGAACGCTGGATCGCCAGGCCAAGCGTGAGCGCAATATCGCTCGAGCTCTGACTACGAGCATCGTCTTCATGATCCTCGGGTATACGTTCAAGAAAGGGCTTAAGCGTAATTGCAGGTAGGGGGAATTCCGACCAAGTCGTCTGCGGCGGTGGAGGTGCAAGAGATGAGCCAGGGACCAATGAGATGCTGGAGGTTGAAAAGAAAAGCTTGAATGGCCATAACGCAGCTATCCCAGTCCTCCGAGTGCGCTCAGCTATGAATGGGCGCTCGTTCTCAAGAATTTTCCTCGGGGACTTGGAGGGTATCTCGGGATTGTGGATCGCGACCCCTGTGGCACCGGGAGACGGCCTTGCCTTGTGTTGCCGCGTACGTCGACAAAGGTATGTCCGCAAGGCATCGCTTCCTCCCTTCGTAGTCACCGGAGTGTCCTTGTGCCTCCGTCGCAGTAACTCGCCTCCAAATACTATCAAGAGCAGGACGCCAATCAATACGACAGCAACAATCGCTGCAGATTTGACGTTTTCAGGAGTACCCTGGTGGGGTGTAGCAGTACCGGTGGCTGCCAGTGAGATAACTTCAGGGGCACTTTGTGGGACTGTGTTGGTGTACTGCGTGGTCGAGTCCGAGAACGCTTGGGCGGGTGGAGGGCTAGCGGACGTCGGTGCGGCTGCCTCTGGACCAACGGGGACTTCATATGTGGTATACGGGTAGTATGGATCATCCCTAGGCGATATCGCCCCCATTGGCTGCGAGGCGGTTCGACTGGGCGAGGAGCCAAAAACGCGACGATGAATTCTACGGGCGTCCGAGTTGGCAGGTGGCATCCTGATGACAGGGCGAGGGTAAAATCAAGTACGTTGGTGTGTGGGATGATAAAGGATTGAAGCAAGAGCAAGCAAGCGGCTGACGTTGTCGGCCGCAGTCAAGTCGAGTCAATGGCTGACACCCTCTAACACCTATTTTGCCAGGGCTTCCCTAACTAGACTCTGGTACCGTCTGGTTCCAACTGTTGTTTTGTGAATAGAATGACGCGGCATGTTCTGCCTTCGCATGGTGGTGGTAAATACGATAGTGCAGACGTTGACCAGAATAATATTGTCCCGAAATGGCAAAACGAACGACGCGTCGCGATTTTGGTCACATGATTACTAAACTTCCATAATAGGAAGGTCTCCGTCGATTCTCTGGCTTTGAGGCTTCAACGAAAATGCAAAAAGATCGTTGTATAGCAGCAACTCGTTTCGATCGAGTGACCTCGGGGTTAGGCGGATCCTATGAGCCCCGCGCGCTCCCACTGCGCCATGCTGCTGTGCTTTATCTGCTTGGCATCGTTATTTTGAGCCCTCCCAGGACGTTATCTGATCTGTGCTTTGCCTGATATCCGATCGGCCGGGATTTACCGGGAGACCATGTGTCCACGGCTGTGTCCGCAATAGGAAAGCTCTCGCGTCGTCTCAGCCACAATTCCTTGCGCTTTCAAAAGCGTAAGTGTAGAACGCACTGCAAGGTCTGGCACGGGCTCGTCCTAATGCTTGTAAATTAGCTACCTCCATGGAACAATCCGTCTTCGTAAATGTCTCCAGAGCGGCGAAAACCCGACACGGAACGTTCTCATCATCCAAAATAACCAGCAGTTTACTGTACAATATGTGTGGTAATCTACAGAACATGACTGTCGTGTGTATCATAGCATGCTGCCCATGGTCCGCATAGCCACATTCTCGCAGACGGGCATCCGCCCGTCATACAAGCATTCCTCTGTAAACGCATCCGCATCAATAAGAAGCAGTGTTTGAATGAGAAACCTCCGAGCACTTACGCGATGCCTGCAGTTTGGAGAGTCCTATAGGTTTATCATTAATCAACCCCGAATTCACACGCGAATCGAGCTATACGCACGAAATAAACCCACAGATCATCGCCGAAGCAGCGATGCGCGCAATCGTTTTGGCTTGTGAAGGGGCAAGGGCACTAAGAACGCCAATCTGGATACCCAACGAACCGAGGTTGGCAAATCCACAGAGGGAGTACGACGCAATGGTGAAGGCACGCTCTGATAGAGGGTTAGAACTAGCTTGTATCGCTTTCAATTCTATGGTGAACATGTCAGTGTTGATGGATCTTTCAACTACGATACACACACCGAGATATGCAGCGAATTCGTTCTCGATGAGCTTGGTAGCGAGGAGCTGGGAGACCCGTAAAATCTCGGGGAATGGAACACCTGCAATTTGATCAGGACGACTATTAGGTATCAGGCCTGTAGTCGGGGGGCATACCAAGCAGGAAAGCAATGGGATAACCTATATACCCAAGGACCAGCTGGAGGGTGAGTGCATGGATTCCAAATCCACGCCCAACCCACGTCAAAACGCCATTGATGGTGGCGACAAGCGAGAGAATTGTAAGTACGTTCGTGCTTGGGACGCAGGATTAGGCGAATGCAAAGATCAAGAACCGTGAATCTTACAGGATCTGACCTGCCACATTCAAACCAAATAGGGCTCCTTGAGAGAAAGCGTGGAGTGCGTTGACTGGCTGTTTCTTGTCATCCTCTTCGCCACGGTCAATCACGACGCGGCCTCGAGTCACTGGCTCATCAACCTCTGGGAAACGCATCTTGCTGATGGCTATGGACGCTGGAATACTCATCACCGAAGAAGTAACGAGATTCTGTGGAGGGACACCCATTGCGACGTAAGCGCTGAGCACGGCACCAGATATGGTGGAGAAGCCTAGAACATCGGCGAATAAGTACAATTGCCACGTTAATGAGATGCATGCAACGAACCAGAAGTCATGACAAGATGCAGCTCAGACGGTGTCATTACATCCACGTAAGGCTTCACAAGACAGGCAGATTCACCCTGGCCTACCCAGGGCGAAGCAGATGCAACTACAGCTTCAGCACCAGAGACATTCATCAGCTTGAAGAAGAACCAGGCGCTAACGGGGCGTCAGAGATCTTCCGATGTCAAGAAGGACTCGGTATGCCTACAAGCCCTTGATGATCCATTGCATGATACCGAGCTTCACGAATCCAGATCAGCACATGGGTAGCACCTGATGGAGTTGAAAACACTCACGTAGTACAGCATTTGGACAACTGCAATGAAGAAGATGATGACCCCGAGCTACAGCAACGAAGCCATCAAAAATTGCCTTGATCGACGCTGTAAGAGGGCCTGACCGTGTTAACGAAGAACCAGTGTTTTGCGATAGTGTCCGCGTCGAAGAAGAACCCGGCACCAACATATCCCTCAGTCAAGAAATCATACGCGAGGTCGGCGATGTATTTGAAGAGCTGATATCCGGCACCGGTCTTAAGCACGAAGAGAGCCACGGCTTGCTGAATGAACAGCCCGACTATGACTGTGGGCCTTTTGAAACGTGAGGCTTTCGAGTGTATAGATGATTAAAGAAGAGACATACCAGCAGACGGCAGAGCGGTTAGTGGACGTTAGCCAGAAGCATGTCTGGAAAACGAATAGGCCAAGCACCGAGATCGCGCGATGCCCATAGTCGGTGTTCTACGCGTGCTCAGTCGAAGGACGTAGAGAAGTACAAGAAACATACACCATAGAGGGGGAAACCGAAAGCGGACCCAAAAACGATCCCAAGGAGACAAAGCCAGCCAATCGACATTCTGACATTGCGAGGGAGCGTGTACCATGGTTCTTGTACGTATGGCATCCAAACAGCCGATACAGGCCCCGTGACCGCTGAATTTGGGATGAACCGAAAAGCTATCACCCTTGCGATGGTCGTGATGTCAGACGCGTAAAAAAAGTGGAAATGTTGGCGTACAAAAGGAAGAACCACGCAAATATGGTTTGTACGAGCCTTGGAGGTAGATGTAAGCTTGGTGTATAGTCAGAGAGGTGATCAGCCTTACCATCTGCCACGAGTAGCCATTTGGACAGTTGCCGAAATCCACCAAGCCAGAACCAGAGCACCCAGAGCAATCAAGATGACAACGCGCAACCTCTTGTAGAACACGGCGTTCCGTGTATCAGACTCAGTCTCTTCGTCGTGGTCTAGACGCTGCTTCTCTTTCCCGTCTGAAGAGTTCGAGGCGCTCTTCCTATGAACGACGTTGGCATCTTCGAGGACAGTGGCCGAGAACGCGCGGGAATCAGTCATGTCGACAACCGCGGGCAACAATGAGACCAGGAGGCGACTTTGAACTGAACCGAGGTCCGAGGAGCACTCACCTTTTTTCAAGCTTTCATCGTTCCTCCTTTTGAATCCTCAGAAGCCAGCTATGGCCGGCTAGAGCCGACCCCATGGCTGACCCACGCGGTTGTTGGAGGATCATAACCGAATTCCCGGTGCCAGGTGGGTTCAGCCTCGCGGTACCAACTGGTGCCAACAAGTGCATGGCCAGCCATCTTGGATTGTGCACATGGCTCTATGTCTCTCCGAGTCCAGGAAAATGCCCCTTCGGGCCACGGCCGCGCTGCAAATCAAAGATATCCACATCTTGACGTCGCAAAGCATGCCGGATCCATTGATGGATCCTTGCAGGCAGCGACAACATTTAACTTGACTTCCGACCTTTTAAGATATATGTCCTGAATCACAAGATATCAACGATGCCGATGAGCGCAGGCGCCCACTTGAAATGAAAGCTGACAGGCAAGACTCGGCAAAGACATATCTGCGACAAGTTACAACTTATCTGACATCCACCGCAAGATATCTAGGGACGCTTCCTCTACACCTTAAGCGCCTTTATCGACTTCCCGCTCGCGATCGCAAGCCACTCTCCAGGAGCTGTCGAATGCCCAGTATTCATCGTCATCCCCGGTATCTGTGGGGACCATGCTAGGTTCGTCATCTCGCTGCTCCCTGAGTATGCCATGACAGGGTCTGTGACCACCCGCTTCTTCACGTCAGGCCGAGGTGAATTCAAGCGAGAGCCTGCCGTCCGCGGTGACGTTGCCGTTTGAGTGTAGCCTGCTAGGTCCCATAACAAAACCTGACAGTCATCCCCTGACATCAACCAAATATTAGTTAGAACCCGCACATGCAAAGTAGAGTCTGCTTACCAGCAGTAGCCAGTAAAGGTGTCTCTGTGGCACTCCAACCCATTGCATTCACTTGTGCACGATGTCCCCTGAGCTCAATAACCGGCTGACCCGGACTACGCATATCCAATATTTGGACATCTGACCCATCCATATGGAACGTTGACATGTAATTCGAATCAGCAGGGTTAAATGCAATCCGAAGAAGCGGGGAGGTGGGGAGACGGGAGGAAGCAGAGGGTGGGGGTGGGGCCCCCTTCGGCGCTGGCGTCTCGTACAGGATTGTTGAATGCTCGAGGCTCCGAAGATCAAATGCACGCAAACTCCCATCTGCACCGACCGAGACAAAGATGTCTGTTGACCCGGGTAACCATGCGACGTCGTACACTTCGCGATCGTGGGCGATAAGCTGTGTGATCGCAGTGGCAGTATCTATGTTCCACACAGTACAAGTCGTGTCGATTGAGGATGTCACCACGAGACTGGGTGCTTTCTCGTTCCACGAGAAGCTCGTCAAAGGTGCTCCGGTAGATTGGTTCTGTACTTTTGATTGCTGGACAAAAAGAGGTCAGCTCTGCGCGTCAGAAGGAGGGCGACACACGTACACCAGACAACGCGGTTTTGAGCGTCAACCGATGTCCCCCTCCTGCTGGTTGCCGTCCTACATACGCAGACGACGTCAATGGCGCATCTCCAAAATACTCCCACACTCTCAAAGCATCGCCCGTCGTCGCAAGCAGTTCCGCAGCTGGCGCCTTTCCAGTCCAAGCGTAACCTCCTGCACTTGCGGGTTGCCATTGCAGATTTGTAGCCGGGTATCCATGATTCGCCTCGACGAGCGTCACAAAGTCGGGGTAGTCTGTGTAATCATCCTCAACGAGTACTCGTTCGTCTTGCAGGCCTACGATAGCGATGCGATTTCTGTAGTCTTCAGTAAATGAGGCAATCCCTAGGCGGAAAGCCGAGCGTGGGCGGGATTGATGACCTGGCGCTGTGGATTTGCACCAGTCAAGCGCGTGCACGGGCCCTTATTGCACGATTGGGCCTATCAGCCAGATCGCTCAGATGGACAGAAAACTTACAAGGCGCTTCGTACTGAAGCAGGGAGGTTTGGGTCATGAGAAAAGCAGGTGAACCGACTGGCCATGTGGCGTTGCTGCGATGGACAGGTATGGACGAGGCGGGTCTGAGCCGCCTCAGGCTTGCCTGCATAGCTTTCATTTCTTAGTCTTGCAATCGTACGTCGTTGAGAATTGCACTTTCAATGACAAACATTAAA